CACCCTTAGCATGAAGAAGTCCCAGCTGTGCGTTCCGGGGGTCACCTCCCCAAATCCACTGGCCACGGACAACACAAGCAATCTCCTCTAGGCCTCGCAGGCCTCTCTGTCACTCTGCAGGTTAGCGATTGGCACACCCCCACCCTTGAGCCCTGCAAGCATCTGCCTGGAGTGTTCCAGCCCCCATTCCACTGGCCACTCTCAGGATCTGTTGCTTCCAAAGAAACGGTACCCCCCAGCTTACCGGTTCCACCTCAGCTCACCGCTCTGCTTAATACACAGCACTTAGATATGTTTACAGTGAAATCAAGAACTGGTTTATTTAACAAAACAGAGGTTCAAAGCAATAGCCAGTGGAAGTGTTGGAAACAAATGGTTACATATAAAATAACATTATAAAGCTTAGTCTTAATTAACAAGATACTCTCCTAACTTGCTCACCCAAAGTCCTTTCACCATGTTAGTGCCATGCTGGGTGTGATGCTCTTTTCATAAGACAACCACACTATTAGCTTGTCTCCTCAGTGAAGGATCCACGGTATCTCTCGATACCCCTAGATATGATTTAACAACCCATAGTCCTAATTCATAAACAGGACACTGCCCTGCTGATTGTTTCTTATTGTGGCTTTTATCTTGTTGATTCCTAATCATTTGATGAGCATCAGGCTCAGTATGCAAATAGACAAGCGTTGTGAGGTGGACAATACAGGTATGATCAAAAAGGAAGATAAACGTCTGTTTCACTTGCCCAAAAGGAACCTCTTCAGCATTGCTACATAATTCTTAAATCTCATCCGTACATACATTTCACAATAATTATGACGACGAGTGGGCTAGCCACTGTCTCTTGCTAGAGACCTCACATGCCACCCACTGGTGAACTATTATGCATGTATCTGGCCCACACGATCTCTGTACAACTCTATCCACAGGGTGGTGCCAGTTGGCGGGTCCCAGGGTCACACAGCCTGTCTAAACTTACACAAGAAATACTTTGCATTCAAAACCTAGTGTTCAGTAAAGAAACTGCTCTATTTTTCCCAATGCCTACACAAGCTGGCTAATTTTAAATGCACTAGATCGGGGTGGGCAAACTACGGCCCGGGGGCTGCATCTGGCCCTTCAGACATTTTAATCCAGCCCTCAAGCTCCTGCTGGGAAGTGGGGTCTGCAGTTTGCCCTGCTCCATGTGTACTGTGGCTCTGTGCGGCTCCCGGAAGCAGCATCCTGTCCCCGCTCCGGCTTCTATGCATAGGGGGAGCTAGGGGGCTCCGCACCCTGCCTCCGCCGCAAGTGCCGCCCACATAGCTCCCATTGGCCGGCAACTGCAGCCAATGGGAGCTGCAGGGGTGGCGTCTGTGGACGGGGCAGTGTGCAGAGCTGCCTGGCCACGTCGCTGCATAGGCACCGGAGGGGGGACATGCCGCTGCTTCCGGGAGCTGCTTGAGGTAAGCACCACCCAGAACCTGCATCCTTGACCCCCTCCAGGGCCCCAAACCCCTGCCCCAGCCCTGATCCCCCTCTCACCCTCTGAACCCCTCAGTCCCACCCTCCTGCGCCCCAGACCCCACACCCCCGCCGGAGCCCTCCCACCCGCACCCCTGCCCCAGGCCGGAGCCCCCTCCAGCACTCTGAACTCCTCATTTCTGCCCCCACCCCAAAGCCCGCATCCCCAGTCAGAGCCCTCCCACCCTCCCACACACCAACCCCCAATTTTGTGAGCATTCATGGCCCGCCATACAATTTCTATACCCAGATGTGGCCCTCGGAGCCAAAAGTTTGCCTGCCCCTGCACTAGACAGAGCTATATTTCATTTAAAGGCGTGCAGGTCAATTCAGGTTTTGTTAAAAACAAATATTTTTACAAACAACATTAGTATGAATATCTTCACTCAATTGTTCAGAACACTCCATTATTATTAGAAATAATGTTTCTCTAGTATTTGCAATCCAATTTTTGCAGCATCCTACTTCTGTATGAAAAGTAGAAAGTGAAAATGTTTGTCTTCTATGATTATGGTAATATATACATAAAATTGTCTATAAACAAAACTGAAAATATCGAGTTTAATTTCATTGTCCAAGGATAATGAAATGCAAAAGTAAACAAACACCACAAATAGTGAAATGTGCATAATCAGAGATGTGGGTAAATCGTGGTTTAAATAATGTAATTTTTTTAAAACAGTCATGATTCAAAGACCACTAGATGGCACATTCTGACGATGCAATATTTTGTTTCTTGTTTCCAGTGAAAATAAACGCTCTAAGAAAATGACTGGGGAAACCATAACACAATTTGAGGGTGAGATCTTGTAAACATTTGTGCAGGTGAGTAACTTGATACAGGTGAGTTGTCCCAATAACAGAGTTACTCACCTGCACAAGTGTTAAGAGAGTCTGATGTTAAAATTTGGAAATTATATTTAAAAATAAAAGTTAAATAACCTCTCCAGGAAAATGTAGACTTTAGTGGTAGCTAAACTCAGTGTCTTATAAGCAAGCCCCTTGACACTAGTGCCAACACTTAAGCACGTGTGTAATGACACTCATGAGCAGAGGGATCTTCCAGTGGTTATGGTACTGGGAGACCAAGGTTCAAGTCCGTGTTCTGCCACAGATTTCTTGTGTGACCTCAGACAAGCTACTTATCCTCTCTGGGTAGGTCTACACCAGGGTTTCTCAAACAGGGGTCACCGCTTGTGTAGGGAAAGCCCCTGGTGGGCCCGGCCGGTTTGTTTACCTGCCCCGTCCGCAGGTCCGGCTGATTGCAGCTCCCACTGGCCGCGGATCGCTGCTCTGGGCCAATGGTCTAGACAGCCTGCAGCAGTGAGTCTTGTGCTAGCGCTCTAAAAATAGCGGTGTAGACAGCTCTTTGAGGGGCTGACGCTGGATTTTGAGTTCTGAAGCCCCCTCCTTAGGTTTCAAGCCTGAGCTCTAACCCAAGCTACAACTTCAAAAAGCCACTATTTTTAGAGTGCTAGCAGAAGCCCCTCAAAGGCAAGTCTGTCCATCCAGGCTGTGGATCCCCTAAGGGTCTCTGTTCCCCATCTGTAAAATAGGGATAGGAGCACAGCCCCTGCCTCAGGGATGTGGGGAGAGAAATCTGATAAAGGTTGTGAGTCGCTCAGATGCTACAGGGATGGGGCCGAATAAGATAAGTAATACCATGTCCAGAGTGGGCCTAGTGAGTAAAGTTATACATCTGCTTAAGTAGGTGTAGTAAGTGAAGGCCCTGATAAAGGCTCAGTATAAGGCCTGAGGCCTGAACTAAAGTAATGGTCAAGACTTTGCTAACATAAAGCAAAGTTAAGCTGTGAGCAAGAGGCAGGCCCTGCTCATAGAAGCTGGCAAGGAAAGGGCTGATGTTGCGTAAATATATATTCACCTAGCATTGTTAAAGTATAAACATGGTACCAAGACACACTATACCGGAACATTCCACAGATAATATGGAACAGGCCGACCCATCCCAATGACAGGGGCAAAAGGATAAAATGATGGATAGAGTTGTTTTGATCGAACCAACATGTACAAGGTGCGAGGCGGCACCTTACTACGTAGGGAGGTTGTACCTTGCTACGTGAAGGGGTTGCACCTCAATACGTCAGGAGTGATGTGTAACTTGTTTGTACCCGTGTATAAAAATGTATCCCTGGGGTGGTGTCTTTGTCCGGTCACGGGGGCAGTGGAAAGTCCCGCCACGGAGCCGGGTCCTTGCCAAGAGGCACTTTCTCGTAGTATGCCCGGTAGACTAAGTAATCTACGGGGAACTGCCATTGTGTCCGAGATCGCAATAAACCTGGTTGACGTGACTTTGCATCTTACTAGACTCTGTGGTTATTGGGGGTTCTCTTTGGGTCTGCTGTATCCGCTATCTGCAGAGCTGGGGCAGCACACAGAGGGAACATACAGGTGCGCAGCCAAGTGATATCAACATAGGAGCAACCAGAGCACCACACCGGTAGCATCTGACAACAGTAGGGGTGGGATTAATGCTTGGGAAACTGATCAGAACCACTGGCCCACAGAAGGGAGAGGGAAGGGATGGACTGATGTGCTAGTCCTGGATCTTAGGACTGGACAAGCCAGAGCAGGGCCTCGGTCTATCACTTGATAAGTATGTTCTTCCGGAAGGCCAGGCCGGGGCATTTTTAAATCAGTCTGTCGGCGACCCTGGTGTCAGTTGTTTTAGGGGGGGGTTTCTAGTGCCTGCTAAGGGACCAGGTGGCTGAGCGACTGCCACCACTGCTCTGCTGTTCTCTGCTCCGCCTGGCCGGGGTTGGCTGCTTCGGCCGGTCCACCGGCCCTTGTGCTGTCCCAAGGAGGCAGCGCTGCTGCGGCTCACGTGGCTGGGCGCTGAACCGCTGCGCGGTTTAAATAATCCGCAGCTAAAACGCGCCCGCCCCGCGATGCAACCCCGCGCCGGAGTGCAGGGCCCCCTCCGTCCCCGGCAACCCAGCGCCCCGTTTCCGCGCCGAGCTGCGGCTGGCGGGGTCCCCCGCGGGGCGGCGGGTTATGCCCGACCGAGGCTCAGCCGCAGCCCCCCCAGGACGGGGAAAGCACGTGCTCGCCATGCAGGGGCCGCCCCCGCTCCCGCCCCGCCCCGCCCCGGCCGCCCCTTCTCCCCGCCCCCCGGCGTGCGATGCCCGGTCTGGCTTCCGCCTCCCGGCTCATAAAGAGGAGACAAAAAGGGGCCGGCGGCTGCTAATCCCGGGCACCCGCAGCCACGTGTCGCAGCGCGGCCCGGCCTCGGTCCCCGCCAGCCGCCGCCGAGCCCGGCCTCGTCTCTCCGGCTGCGCCAGCCCGAGCCCGGCCCCCGGCCCGCTCCACGCGGTAGCGCGCCGGACCGCCTCTCTCTCCCGCCCGCCGCAGCCGGGGTACCCAGCGGGCCGGCTCCCCCCCGGGCCGGGCTCCCTCGGCCGGGCTCTCCAGCATCCTTCCGGCGCGCCGCCCCGGGGGGCCCCGGCAGCCTCCGCCCAGCCAGCGCGCAGCGGCGCCCGCCTTCCCGGGCCATGTCGGGCAGCGGCGGGGTGAAGAAGCGCAGCTCGGCCGCCTCGTCCTGCTCGGCGCAGGAGGAGGAGCGGCAGGCGCTGGAGAAGATGCTGGAGCCGGCGGGGCCCGGCGGCGGCGGGGCCCATGAGAACGGCTGCGCCGGGGCGCTGTCGCCGGGCGCCCCGCCGGGCGGCGAGCTGGGCCCGCCGGGCAGCGGGGACGGCGTGGCGCTGAAGCGCTCCATCACCCTGATCAACGGCGTGGCCATCATCATCGGCACCATCATCGGCTCGGGCATCTTCGTGACCCCCACCGGGGTGCTGAAGGAGGCCGGCTCCCCGGGGCTCTCGCTGGTGGTGTGGGCCGTCTGCGGGCTCTTCTCCATCGTGGGCGCCCTGTGCTACGCCGAGCTGGGCACCACCATCTCCAAGTCCGGGGGAGACTACGCCTACATGCTGGAGGTGTACGGCTCCCTGCCCGCCTTCCTCAAGCTCTGGATCGAGCTGCTCATCATCCGGCCTTCCTCCCAGTACATCGTGGCCCTGGTCTTCGCCACCTACCTGATCAAGCCCCTCTTCCCCAGCTGCCCGGTGCCTGACCAAGGGGCCAAGCTAGTGGCCTGTCTCTGCATCCGTGAGTATCCGCAGCCCTCCGGCCAGCTCTGTCACCTCGGGCTGCAAAGGCCCCCTCTAGAGCCGCCCCGAAGCTGCCCCCTTCCGCTAGCTTCCCTTGTATTCTCTTGCCCCATCTGGCGCCTCTCTCTGGCTGGCTCGCTCCCTGTAGCCCCGAGCTCTGTTACTCGCCCATGGGGCTTCGCTAAACTTAACTGTGTCTTCTGTTGCATCTCATCGCTCCCTGGGGGACAAATTGATCCCAGCTCTCACTTGTGCTGGCTTCTCCTTTAGCACCCTGGCCACGTGCCCTGTGTTGTCTGTTTTGCGGAGAGACACCAACCCCCAGTCTGGTTTGAGCAGAAGGCTCTAATCAAGATGCTTAAACAGAAAAAGCTGCCACCACACAGGCCCCTTGGCATCCCCCTTTCTGAAATGACTTCCAGAAGTGGCCTTGGAGCACAGCATGTAACAGGTGCAGGGCATGTCCCGTCTGTGTCTAGGGATGAGAAGTCTGGTTTCATCATCTAGGAGCGTTATGAGGATAAAATCCATTCATTATGGCAAGGCACTTGGATGCCCTGAGTGATAGAGTGATATAAGCACTGTGATACCCCTCCTAGCGCAGACTATCAGTTGGGTGCAGCTGAACTGTTGCTGAAAGCGGTTTTGTTGTAGACAAGAGCAAACTGTTTTCAGCACCATTTCTGAAAGAGTGGTTAAACTGCTCCTTGGCTTCCAGTAGACCTCCTTCAGCTGCACCTGATGCTGTCAGAGTGCTTCTTCCTCAGGTAGACAAGGCACATGGTGCTAAGGGTGATGTCTAACATTGCTCTGCTAAATCGAGGACCAGTGCTATCCGCATCAGCAGCCTGAAGTTTGCCCTACTGCTGAAATCGAGACAATTTCCTTCCCCCCATCCACTATCTTGAAGTCTGCAGCTTTGCCAAAATCTAGGAACAGTTCCCTTTGCTCCATTAAATGGGATGTTACCCTAATTTCCATACCTCTAAGCCTAGGGCCATTTTCCTCCTTGGTTCCAGTACCACTTGATCTGAGTTTGACCCTATAGTTCATTTCTAGATCCTCTCCTAATAGTAAGAGGAATATTTGGGTTTATTTTGGAGTAGATTTTTCTTGCATGTGGGTTTTTTAGGTCTAATAATAGTACTTAGCTCTTATGGTGCTTTTCATACCTAGTTCTCAAAGCATTTTACAAAGGCAGGTGAGTGCCTGACTTTACAATTGGGTTACCTGTGTATTTTTTTTTTAAAGGTTTTGGAGAGGATTCTAGTTATTTGAGGTGTCTAAATGGACTGTGTTTATAGTAGACTCCTGTACCATTTGAGGATCGCTGACCATTGAAAGGTGCAGCATTTGGGCATTATGGAAGGGGACAGTCTCTGTGAATTCATTCATGCACAAGCTGCCTTATTGTTTCACAAGCACCTTGCAAAACTGGCTTGGCTGGCAAGCCAGGCGGTAGATTGTGCAAATCAGTTTTTCACATTGTCTGAACAATGTTTGAAATTTCTCAGCTGGTGGCTAAATTGTTAAGAGTGTCAAGGTTAGTGGAAGCCATGGCCACATGCCCCTCCCCTTCCCCCCCGTCTAATTTTGTAATAAACTAGATTGAAGTATGTACGTTGTGGGCGATATAGGTAGAAGTGTCACCTCCCTGAGATTGAGAAGCTTCAGGCAACAGTTGTGTTGATTTCCTCAAACTTGCATCAAGCATCTTTTGCGCTGGTGGCCTTGATGTCAATATGCAATATGTTTTATGCTGCAAATGATCCCACCGAGAGTCTGTGTATATGTTGTGTTCAATTATTTGCTTGCCACAAAATGACAAGCTTTAGAGTAATGTAAATACAGATTCTTTGATTACTTGTGCTGAATCATTGCAGGGCTGAGTCTGAGAGTTGAGTACTGAACATGTACAGGGTTTGTTTTTTGGGGGGGGGGTTATAATTTCCTTTTTGGGGGGTTATTTTTAGCAATTTTTGATTTTTATATCGATGTCCCAAAAACGGAGGTTTTTCCAGGGCTTTCTCTTTGTATATACTGTAATGAGTAATCTCTGTGTAACGTTCCATAGTGTGCCAAACAGTGCCATGTTAAAGTGCGCTAGGGAACCTTTAACGCACACCAGCGGAGTCGGCATGGCCAATTAATGGGCAACACATTGGTGTGCTTTCGATTAATAGATTCCAAGGCCAGAAGGGACCACTGTGGTCTCTCGTCTGACCTCCTGTGTAGCACAGGACATAGAACTTTCCCAAAATAATTTCTAAATCAGATCTTTTAGAAAAACATCTGATCTTGATTTAGAAATCACACCCCCATAGTCCACATTTCAGCTCCGTGTAGACCAGCCCTTAGTGTTTTTCTGGTATTTATTGGGTAAACACTGATTTGTTTTTTGTTTTATCGGGGGGGGGGGGTGTTTATTGTTTAAAATCTAAAATCAGAAGCCCTACTCAGGTAGTAATACCGCTTTACATTTCTCATCTTCAAAGCCCTGTACGTTAATTAGATCTCCCAGCACCCTGTAAGCTAAGGTAACCATCCCCATTTTACAGACTGGGAAACAGACGCAAGGAGTGAAGTGACTTGCCCAAGGCTACAACCTGTGTTGAGTGACAGCAGGGATGATAACATAGGCTCTCCTGACTCCCAATCTGTTAGCCCAGTAATTCTCAACCTTTCCAGACTACTGTACCCCTTTCAGGAGTCTGATTTGTCTTGCGTACTCTTCACACAAGAACTAGGGGGTCACCAAATGAAATTAATAGGCAGGTTTAAAACAAACAAAAGGAAGTATTTTTTCACACAATGCACAGTCAATGACTTGCTGGAGGATGTTGTGAAGGCCGAGACTATAACAGGGTTCAAAAAAGAACTAGATACATTCATGGAGGATAGGTCCATCAATGGCTATTAGCCAGGATGAGCAGGGATGGTGTCCCTAGCCTCTGTTTTCCAGAAGCTGGGAATGGGCGACAGGGGATGGATCAGTTGATGATTACCTGTTCTGTTCATTCCCTCTGGGGCACCTGTCATTGACCACTGTCCGAAGACAGGGTCCTGGGCTAGATGGACCTTTGGTCTGACCCAGTATGGCTGTTCTTATGTTTCACCTCACGTAAGAACTACTGGCTTACAAAATCAGACCTAAAAATACGCAAGTGTCACAGCACACAGCACACTGTTACTGAAAAATGGCTGACTTGCTCTTTTTTTACCATATAATTATAAAATAAATGAATTGGAATATAAGTATTGTACTTACATTTCAGTGTATAGTATATAGAGCAGTATAAACAAGTCATTGTCTGTTTGAAATTTTAGGTTGTACTGACTTCACTACTGCTTTTTATGTAGCCTGTTGTAAAACTAGGCAAATATCTAGATGAGTTGATGTACCCCCTGGAAGACCTCTGCATACCCCTGGGGTACACGTACCCCTCGTTGGGACCCACTGCTCTAGCCTGCTTTGCCTCTCTGATGGGTAATACTAATGTGTTCTAACTGTTCTTCTTACACAGTAATTAGAAGTAATGGTTTCCCCGGAGCAGAGTTCAGTCTTGTACATCTAGTACAAAACGCTATGGGAAAGAACTTGCTAGTTCTTCAGATCTGCGTCATTTCCATGTGTTGCTTCTTTAAGCTTTATTTTTCCCTTAGGGTACTGTTCTGTTTATACGTTGGGTTAAATCCTTGCATATGTGTGGGTTGTTTCCTCCCCCGCCCTTTAAAAGATTACTTTGTCATCCAACACATCTAGTAGTGAACTTTTCTCTCCTGCTAGTTTCTGCACCTTTGATTTCTGGAATTGCTTGGTTGCTGTCAAAGTGCCAAAAACTGTAGGTATAACAGAAGGTGGGTTTTAAAATTTTGGTCTGAGGCATTAACAAGTGAGAGCTACTGTGTGATTTCCTAACAAGCCAGTTTGTTAAATGTTTGCACTGAGAGCTCGGTGTTGCAGGGAGATTTTTTTCAAGAGTTTAGGATATGAGAAATTTGGTCTTCGGACATACATGTTGGAGACGTTAACAAAAATCCCAAAGAGGAGGTTGTCTTGGGAAGTAAGATAGGAATCCAGGTGCTTATTCTGAAGTGCTAATGTCTTGCTGTAGAGCTAAAGCCTATTCACTGGTCTTGAACTGCGTTGGTTCCAAAGACCTTAAACTCATTTTTCATAAAGTTCGCCTTTCAACAGGCAGTGAAAATTGGCCATTCACACACTTGTGGCTGGAGGACCTTGATATACTGGTTCTGAACCCCCAGAGTCTCCCCGATCAGAATGTTAGTGGTGTTGAGTAAGGAGGCAGGTAAAACTACGCTTGAAGGAGAGATGACTCAAGAAACAGTTTTAAATTGGGAGTTGGGTATGTTACTGTCAAGACGCTAAACATGCTGTGTAAGGTAGTCACTTTACATATAACTTCGCTCTAAATAGAGGAGTGGTTCTCAAACTTTTTTACTGGTGACCCCTTTCACATAGCGAGCCTCTGAGTGCGACCCCTCCCTTATAAATTAAAAACACTTTTTTTTGTATATTTAACACTATTTATAAATGGTGGAGGCAAAGCAGGGTTTGGGGTGGAGGTTGACAGCTCGCGACCCTCCCCCCCGGTAATAACCTCATGACCCCCTGAAGGGTCCTGACCCCCAGTTTGAGAACCCCGTAAATAGAGGTTTTCTACAGCCAGGATTGTAATCCACACATGATAATCCATTGAATTCCTGATTTCCTACCTCACATGTTTATGACAGTAGTTAAATAAAAGTAAATAACAGTGCTCACTACAAGCAAATTCCACCATTGCAGAACTGGTTAAATTATTCATCACAAGTGTAGGTCATTCTTCTGTTCATGATTTGTTTGCAAACCAACCTGGTGCTGCTTATTGGAAGAATTTACCAGATAATTTGGAAGAACAATTTTCAGTCTATGGGGTTGTGCAAGAATTGATCCTTTTTACGATTTATGATGTGTGATAGGTCACCAAATCCCAT